GTTGATATTGAAAATTTAATCATTAATTGTTTAGATTTCAATCTACTATAGGATTTTTTAAAAGTTTTTTTAAAATTTAAAGTTTGATTAGGATTTGATTTAGGATTTATCTAAGGTTTAGGGCTTCATTAGGATTTCATTATTATTTGATCTAAAATTTGATTAATATTTAATTAGAATTTCAATTAGAATTTGTCCAAGGATTTAATTAAGTTTTCAATAAAGGTTTGATTTATAATTTGATTTAGGATCAATTAAGGTTTCAATTAGGATTTGATGTAGGATTTGATTATGATTTATTAGGATTTTAGTGAAGATTAAATTAAAATTTGGTTAGGATTTATTTAAGATTTTTATTTTTAATATTTCTTTAGCATTCTTGATTATTTTTTTAAAAGTTTTTAGTTCTAATATTTCTTTAAGATTATTATTATTTCTTTAATTTTTAATTTTTGTAGTTTTTTAAGATTTATTTTTATTATTTTTTGAAATCAGTTTATGACTTCGTATGTTTCTTTTATCACTTCTTTTAAATTTACGTTGAATTGGTCAGAGTTTTATTAGAATTATGAAAGTTTATTTAAAATTTATTTGAGATTCTATTAGACTTGATAGGATTTTTGCTATATTTCTACTTATCTTCCACAACTAGGTGCCTAGTATATTCTCAAGTAAAAACACAACTAATACAACAATTTTTAAAGTCCTTATTAAAGATGAATTGAACAATTGGAAATACAATGCTTTAAAAGAATATCTACATTTTTCTTCTTAAAGGCTTTTTAATAATCTTGATACTAGTTTAGAATACCATTTGAAGTATTAATACTATCACAAATGAGTTTGGCATAAATAACAAAAGGTGATTTATCTTTTGCAATATGTATAAAAGCTCTCAGATCTATTTATAAGAATATAATTTTATTAAATTAATAACTTTTTACTTGGATAGTAAAATTTTGGATTATACTATGAAATAAATCAAGGTTATGAAAAATCTAGTATAATTGAGAATTTTATTTTTTTAGCCATGATGAACCTAAAATAATTGAATTAGAGGAACATCTAATAATATTAAATATTATTAAGCTATTATTACTATTCATTCCTCTATCTAAATGGATAATTTTATAAGTATTATTTCCAAAATACAATAAATGACTATCTATGATTTCTACAAGTATGGTCATAATTTTTTTAAGTAAGAAAATTTCTTATTTTTTAATAAAATCTTTGTCTACAAAACAAAATGCTCTTAAATCTAATAAGATAAAGACTTTGTAATTATTTGGTCCTAAACAAACATCTATTATAAAATAAAGTGATGGATTTGAGGAAAAAATAAGACCTTTATTAGGTATTGCATAAGATTTTAGCCACATTGACTCTATTATAGTTAGATAAATTTGTTTCTTAACATATTGTCCTCTTTGGCAACATTGATATTTTTTTTTATAATTTTATTTTTTTTTAGATAATATTAAGCAATGAGCTTAGATTTTCTATAGTATAAATATAATTCTCCTTGACAACATCAAATTTTTTCTTGTTTAGTGAAAAAATTGAAACACATTGTATTAATTTGCATAGGTTTTGATTTTGATAAATAAGTTTTTAAAAACTTAAAAATTATCATCATGCCTTGATTTAATCTTCTCCATTCAAATCTTTATTCTTCGTATCTATAAAAAAAATCTAATTAATTTATATAATGGCTTCAGTAATAAATTATTTTTAAAATTCTATTATTAGCTTTATTAATAATAAATCTTTGATATTATCTTTTAATCAATACTAAAATTAATTAATAAGAACTTCATCATTCCAATCAACATCATATAGAAGGTTTTGGAATTAAACAACATATGTAGAAGTTCAATATAATCTTTGTGGTAAAATTAAAAGTTTGATCTTTATTATCCTTTTTAGATTTTTTTTTCATATGCAGCTAAAAATACTTCCAAAAATAAATTTAAATCATATAAAATTTGAATAGTATTTTCCATCAAAAGTACAAACCAAAAAAAGAATATTTTTAGATAAGAGTGTATCTATAAATCCAACTTGAATAAATCTATTAAAATATCAAGAAAGTTGCAACCTTAGATAGAATTTGAATTAGTGTAAAAATCTTCAAAATTTTGATCTTCTTATATCTAACTTCTTTTGCATACTTATCCTTGCTTTTTTCATATTTATAGTAGCAAGACTTCTTTGATTTAATTGTGAAGTTGATATACTTATTTTTCTCAAGTATACAACTTTTTGGCTTGGACATTGAACTTCAAAGATAAATTCTTCTATAGGCATAGAAATCGCACTTCTATGGTTGATGTTGATAATACATTAGATTTCCACCCTAAAAGTATTGACAAGCTCATGAAGATTTGCAATATTTATAAATCTATTCTTACTTTAACAAAGTGTAGTATATATATATATATATATATATATATATATATCTATATATATATATATATCTATATATATATATTTTTATCTATGTAATATGAGATTTTAACAAATCCATAAGTTAAATTAAAAGAGGATAATGTGCAAGTTCTGATATCAAATAAAAATATCTACAAAAAAAAAGTCTATTTTTAAAAAATCAATATTAGAAAATAAAAAATATTAATTTAAATGTAAAAAGTTTAAAACCTTAAATATACAACAAAAGAAGTGAGATGATTTACTTAATTCTAAAAAAAAAAAAATAATAAAAGAAAAAAAAAAATAGCATTCTTGTCAAAACATCAACGACATCAATAAATAAATAAATAAAAGATCAATACACACTTATGGCACTAGAAAAGAGTAAATAATCACTCAAAGATGGTATAATATTAAGATTAGAATGACTATTATTAAAGACAAGAAGACCAAAGATTCTTGAAAGAAGATTAAGAACAAAAAATATATTTACTTGTAAGACAAGTGTCTAACTTGCAAGAAAAATTTCTTACATCTACATCATGTACTCAACTTGTACCACAAGTCACCAACATGTCCAATATGTGGCCAACTTATTGACCAAATTTTCTACATATCAATCACTTACAAACATGTGTAAAGTCAAATCTATGTCTATGAAGCTTACAAGAAGCTTATTCACAAGATATTATCAAATCTACTTACTTCTACTTACTTCTATCTAACTTCTTTAATTTAAGTAAATATGTGTGTCCATTACATGAGATCATTAAGACTTATACCATAATAAAAAATTATATATAAATTTAAAAAATACCTTATTTAAATACATGATAGTAACCATTATGACTTAATTTTTTTTATAAAATAAGAATAGAAAAATAGAGAGATAGTATCTTTTATTTAAAAATGACTATTTTATTAAAAAAAATACTACAAAATTATAATTTATAAAACTAAGATTAAGATGGTACAATGATTTAAAAAATTATTTTCATTGTTTTCAATTTTGACTTAATCTAAATTTATCTTAAAATAGATCAATAGATTGATACTTAGTTTAATAAGTAAAATTGTTATTATATAATTCAAGAATATTTATTATGAAGGAATTTTATAAAATACATTTATAGGTGGAGAGTTCTGTATATATGCATGTGCTCTTTATTGAGATGATTTTTTTGACTCCTTACTTGTTATTCATTACAAACACCATTGTAACCTCTATTGTCATCACTATTGCACCACTTTACTTATTACTACACTTCTTTTGTTTCTTTAACTTTGTAAGACATTGTTGCATTCTTTTGCCTATACACATCCACATCTTTGTTGGTCTAGAAATTGTGTCACATTCACACGAACTATTTCTTTACTACCATGTGAATTATTGCATAAGACAAAGAAAATGTAACATAATTGTTAAAACAAGGGCTTTTAGTACAAAAGATGTTAGCACAACTTAGTCTTAGCTTTGTGATGATTGATTGCATTTACATATGGCATATCCAAGGTGTTTTATCAAGATGGATTGACTACAAATACTGAAATAAAAGAAAATACTAATTGTTTTATAATACAAGTTAACTAAAAAAGTGTGCATAATTGAAAAAACAGAAATCAAAATACAAAAGTGTGTTTGTAAAAACATACTTATATATTATACATCTAATTGTAGTTATGCAAGCATATTGTTATGAAGAAGATTGTTATTTTACTTTATTTTTCATTTTTTTAATGCTAAATTTATCATTTAAATAGATATACTCAAAATATTATAACAAAAACGACTAAATGTTTTATAAAAAAACAGAGCTATCTTGTTATATATATATAATAATAATAATAATAATACGTTTATCTTAGTTTTTTATCATAAAAATCCTACAATTTTATATATATATATATATATATATATATTGGTTTCCACCAATTTCTATTTAACAAGTTTCTATTGTGTAAATTTTTATTATATTATATTTTCGTTTTAATAATCAAATGCATTAACCTGTAAAAACTTATATATTAAAATTTCAAGTAACCACATCTTACAGCATTTTTCAAAGTGTAGATTTACAACTTGAAAAAAATGATTATTTATTCCTCTTGAATTGAACACTTAATTGTTATGGTTGATGCATTTATGTTTATTTGGTTAAATTATTACAACAACACATTGTTTTAAAATGTTTATATTCCACCGTATTCAAGATTGTAAAAAATCTATATAAAAAGTCCTATCTTTATTTTTTATTTTTTTATCTTTATTTAATTTTAATTAATTTTTTTTCAAATATAATTGTATTAGGGTAAACATTTGAATTGATGAACTAGTAGATTTAGTGGCATTGTATCCAGAACAATAATTTCGATATCAATACATACAATGCTATACGTTTGCCACTGTATACAAAGTTGTCACATTTTCATTCAACAATTAAAGTTCCTAGCAGGCACTAGTATACTCTTTTTCCTCAAGAAACTTGTGTATTAATTATGATCATTACAACAAAGTATTCACCAGAAATTGCAACCCATCAGCATTAATGTGGAGGTGCTTCATCAACTTGACAACTTACTGCAAATCTTTCATGCGTTTTGGATTCGGGTAAGATAATCTTTCAGTTCCAGTGCAGGGCCGCTTAATTACCAACTTCGTTGTAACAGGTTCTGCCCAGTTCTCGGTCACTCCGGAGAATGAAGAAAGTACTGTACCTACCCAGTGTGAGAAATGATGTCACCGCACTTAATAACAGAGAAATAGGTCGAAAACAGCAATGCTACCACCACAAATGAACTGCACTGTAATAAACAGTTCATTCACACATGACCAATATCAACTCTGGCACTGATAAAATTTTGTGTGCTCTAACTGCACTGACTACATACTGGTGGAATTCCATGCTCCTGAGAACCACACCGGTTTCGAGGCGCCTGACAACCACCACCACCACCACCAGTGAAGACGTAAGGATTCTTAAGTTGGTGTATAAAACAACGCTATACAATGCCACATTCCCGTATATTTTATCCACTTTTGAAAGCCTCAACCATTATGAAGCCATCGGTGCCAGCTAAATATGTAGCGGCATATGTTATGGAAAATACAGTGGGCCAGAAGGAATCCTTTGGCAGCGGTTCAAGGGAATGTAAGGACATCCATTGCCCCCACTCCCGCTAGTCAGCGGTGGAAGTATGGCAGGATATGAAACTTGCTGGTCGGACGTTCTAGGGTTGCTGCTATAAGCCGAACTACAAGTAGTATACACAGGTCCAAGCACCTCCCGCTTGGCTCGGGTCAATTTGTGTCCATGGCCTTCCAGCTTGAAATCTGTGGGCCGCGGAGACGAGTTGAGATTCATACATGCAACACTGATCTTATTCCGCTGCCAGAACCGTAGAGTCTTCCAAAATGATTTACTGCCTCTTTTGCAATTCAATTGAGCATGAGTCTTTTCATCTTCATAAGGAACTACATACTCCATAAAGTCAACACTAGCAGCTCGCTTGCTGGACTTGCAAGATTTAACAAGTACATGCTCGCAGAGAGAATTAGACGACGGAAACTTGTTTTCTCGATATAAGGTGCGACTTTGTTGAGGCGACTCCACATGCACGGTTTCAGCATCAGCCTGTACCTAAAAACAACCGCTGTTGATTGGAGTTAAACTCAACAGGAAAAACTGGCCCACTCTATGCACTTATATCTCTACTTGCATGTGCTGCTCTGAAGTTCTCAATATTTCTGCTAGTAACATCTCCAGTAGTATCAATCTCCAGTATAGGATGCACTATTACTAGTCACCGAACAGCACAATTTGATTATCAAGATCACTGGCCAAACCAACTGTGGAGGCAATTTCAATGCAAAGACCAACAGAGGCACTACCTCTTTGAAGCCGGCATCTGGTTCAAAGCCGAAACTGTTTACATTCTCTCTTTCATACTGTAGCGACGGTGAATCAGTTGCTAAAAACCGGGATTCCATACTCGAATAATACTGAAAGCAACTCAGTCACGGCCCATGCTGCTTCACCAACAAGTTTCGCGTGAGACCTGCACAATAATGTGCAACAACTACAGTTCCAATTACTGGGAAGAGAAAGCGGCTAAAACTAAGTTGTACTTTAACGCACTTCAATGTTGTCCAGCATTAACCCGACCTGGTTGCAATCAATGGGAGATAGAAGCTTATTGTGCAGGGAAAGGTCATCTCCAGCACTAGTAGCAAGGTAGAGAACTCTTCGATGTGACCAGACGAAATAATATGGCACTACACCCTAATTACAATACGTACAATGAGTACATCACCTTACTATGAGTGGTGTCTGGCCTAGACTATAGTATCGAATGTTACTAGTACACCAAAGTAATCGTCACCAGCTGAAATTCCAGAGTCTGAAGAGACGGCATGATCGTAAAGTGATCTCTCGAACACCTTCTCACATCCCTCGACCGAGTTACAGCAATCAAAAGAAACACCGGAACTGCCGAAAATTACAAGATGAATTTCAAATCTGCTCGCCCAACATTAAACAAGTTTGTTTTACACGCACATTAAATCGAGATTTTGAAATTCTCGGAATATAAATCCAACACTGCAAGCTGCTATCTCGATATTTGACTGTCATCTCATCATCCTCAGGGGAAGCTCGAGGTAAAGTGAAAACGAAAGCATTCTCGCTCATACGCTAGGGAGCGCGATACGACTCAGAGCAGAAAATTAGACCCAACAACGCACAATGCTTGGTCTGCATCAAGATCCCTAGCGATATGTGATATCCGCCTCAGTGTGGGAATTTCCGACATACAGCACAGATGAAGCAAAGGAAGTGAAACTATTGGCAAAGCAGGTCCAATACGGCAGCTCAAGTCATGCAGATTTCTCCTTAACCCCTAAAACCTTTTCTAAACGGTGCGCTGCCCCTCTTGTTGATCTTACATCCACGGGACGAAAAGCTTAAGTACCAGCAAAGTCCACAGAGAATCAGTTTACTTTAGAAAACCTAGATTGAAGCAAATTAACTTAGAGTAGTCTGGTGGTAAGGTGACCAGGAATTTCTCGAGACTTTCTATCAAATTTCTAGAACGCCAACGGTGATGATCACTAATTGTTAAAATCCTAATTTATTCACGCCGTGAAAATCTGATGCATGAGGTTGACGAGCCTGAAAGTAAATATTTTAGATCAGAGAATGAATCTTAATGCAGGAGTTAGTCGGCTTCAAAAGATCTGGGGTAGACTACTGCAACTGCGAGAAATTCTGCCTTTCGGTTGCAAACAAAATAAAAGGAGGGAAATACGTCTGGAGGGGAACTTTGGTAGGCACACTGGACGGTGAAGCACATCATCAACAGATTCTGAAAGTACTCACCAGTCGCTTCAGCAGAGTCAACGTCATTCTCAGTCGATCTAGATCCGTTCTGCCTACTTCCATTGCGATTATAATTCATATTGGCTAAGTGGAGCTGAAGTTGGAATGATCAGACATGTTCACTGCGTGGAGCTGCAAACTGTTTAGTGACTTGCGTTTGTCAGGGGTGAGACAAAGGATTATTCACCATTCGACAGGCACCGTCACGATCTGGACGTGAAAACTACCTGTTCGAAGCTGTAGAGAATTAAGTAGCAACACAGACTGACAAACCACTAAGAAACAAGTGTACTCGGTGAAGCTCACTGATGATCGGCTGCTAGCAAGTGCCGTAACTTGATCCAGATACCACCGACGAATCTAGCGCTACCAAAAATAAAAATAAAAATAAACATTTTGCATAGAGAGCTCGTAATGCAGACTTTGCGTCAGAAATTCCTCGAGTGCGAACTAAGCGACGATCGAAGGTGAACCTTACAACTTCGACTCTCAAAACGCTAATCCAGTAAATGTAAATCGAGATGCACAAGTGCGCCTGATGGTACTAGGATCCTCAATGACAACGGATCGACCTTTCCAGGCAGCAATCATGTGAACCAGCACATTTGATTCAACTGGGAAGGGGGAGAGATGGTGAGATGACGTAAGAAAAATGGCACAGTAGTAGATCAGAGCACTCGGAGCGCTAGCGGAGCATGTGAGGAGGACGAGAAGTGCAGGGCGGCAATGAAGGCAGCAGCAGGCGGCGTCGCAAGGGAAACGGAAGTAAGTGCGTGACGAGGGATGGAGGGCGAAAAGCGAGTACAGGGTGAGACAGACTAGTGCACCCAGCGAGCGCCTGATGATGCGAGAGTGGCCTTGCATTCATGGGCAGAGGGGCCCCTGGCCTGCCTTGCTCACTCACTCACTCTCGATCACTCGCTCATTCTCTCTCTCTCTCTCTCGCTCACTCACTCGTAAAGGGAACCCCCCCGCCCCCTGTGCAGCAGCATCGCCCGTGCCGGTCCCGGAAAGCTCTCCGAAGCCGCCCCATTCACTACGCCGCTCCAGACGCAGCAGCCCCATTTTAAGAGCCCATATTCAAAACCCCTCACTCACAATTGATCACACGTCCTCTTTCTTCTATTTTTGGTATTTTATTTATGGAAGTGCAGCTGGACACTCCCTTGCCCCCCCCCCCCCCCCCCCTCTCCTTGCGCTGCCTCCACTCATCCTATTCCTTCTTCTTCTTCCTCTCGCCTCCTCTTTGCTTTGCCTTCCGAAGCAGACCCTCTCTTTTCCATGTTTGCCAGCCTCCCCCCCCCCAATGTCATTGTCCAAAATCCTTGGATGGTTTCCCCTATGTGGTGAAAAATAAATTCTTCTGCAGTTTGATTTTTGAGATGATATAAAGCAAGAAGAAAAATGTGGAATAGAGCAAATTATTATTATATTTTGACTTTAAATAGAGTGCTTCAAATGTTGATTTGTAACTTAAATTTAAATTTATTCCACATTTAAATTTCTAACTTAAATTCACCCACTTAAATTTAAATTTCTAACTTAAATTTAAATTTTTTTAAAAAATTGTTTCTTGAAGAGCTCTAAAACAAAAATTTGAAGACAATATTGTTTGTATAAAGAAAATGTACATTTAAAAAATGACTTCATTTATATGAGGAATAGTCATTTCTAAATTTATTGTAGTACATACTATTGAAAGGTATTGAAACCTACTTGAATATAGAAAATTAACCAGATTGGCACAACCTTGACTTTAACACGGAACAAAAGGGGCTGAAAGTTTTTATTTGCAAGGATTTGTATTACAGACGATTTATGCAATTGAAGTGACAAGACTCACCAAAAATGAAACTACATACTTTTCATATATATATCAAATGAGTGCTTTTATAACTCTATGCTGATATAGAAAAACATTGAAAAATAATAGCAAACAGATCAATGTGATGTTTGAAGAACTAAGTACTGAGCAGTGTGTACTCCAAAAACATTGATAAGTAATTGAAGTAAAAAGAGCATAGATAGACTTTTTTTAAGAAATTGAATGCAAGTAAACTTTAGAGAGAACCTTGTTATAGAAAAATGAAGTCATTTGATGTAGTGTTTAAGTGTTAGTAAAGTAAAAATATACATACTCATAAGCAAGTTGAGATTTTGGGTACTCAAGTCAGAAAAAAGAAGATATTCACTTTTGATGGAATAAAGAGAAGAAAAAGAAAAAGAGAACAGAAGAAGCACAGTTTCTATCTCCTATAGGTATTATATGGACTTGGTAAGAAGAAGTACAATTTTTTGGACAATTTAATCATCTCTAAGCATTTAATTCAAATTCTATCTTTGAATTCAATATATTATCCATTTGAAGTATATGAATGCAATAAGTACTTTCAAAACAAACTTGGATTGTCTCTTTGCCAAAAATAGACTAATTATATAACTTACAATTATATAAATCATGTTTTTTATGTTAGAGATTAGATGTTTTGTAATAAATTTTAGATATAACTTTGATCATGGTTTTTTTTTATTATTTAAGAAAAAAAAAAAAAAATTACAAGGTTGATGATATTGAATCTTTATTCTTGTATGTATATTGTTAGAATATATCCATATTTTTTATTTATAAAAATGATAGCAAAAAAAAAATAATAAAAAAATAAATGAATCAACTTTATTATCTTTTCAAAACCAAAATGTTGTATAATAAAAAAGATTGTTGTAGACTTGAACAACACAAAGTTATACAGGTTCTAAGAATACTCTTAATGACCTTTAAAATAAAAATAATTCTTTGTATTCAAAACTACCATTCATATGTCCATTTGAATATTTATCAATTGCTTTAAAAATCTTATTGTTCTTTGATGCTTTACAAATGTATTCTATTATTCACATTTTATTAAACTTCGATATTAGTATCATGTTTAGCATTTTTTTTTTTTTTTTTTTTTTTTTTTTTTTTGCACCATATATGATAAGATATATATATATATATATATATATATATATCTACACACACACACACACATATATATATATATATATATATATATATATCTACACACACACACACACATATATATATATATATATATATATACACACACACACAAATATATATATATATATATATATATACACACACACATATATATATATATATATATATAGGAAGTTGGAGATAGACAAAATCAATAATGAGATGGAAATGTGGGTGTGGCTTTAACAACTTCCTATATATATTATAAGATTTCTTATATGATGATTTCGTATGAAGTCAAAACTAAGATAATATTATATCTATTTTTTTTTTTATTATTTTATATTTTTGAAGCTTGTTAAACATTCCAAGTTCTTATAATTTGTAATAATTTTTCTTTAGCTAAATTACTTCAAGAACATTCCATTATTCTTTAAAAACATCAATAATTACTAAAATATATTTTTTTCAAACTATAGTATTTTTTTAATCATTTTTTAATAAAAGAAATTTATATATATTTTTTTATTATTGCAATATTATGAATAAATTACATTACATATATAATAAAGTCTATGTGCTTCCAATGTACATCTCTTTATTAGATTTTGAATAACAATATTAGTTTTAATATTCCAAAAAACTTTCTTAATATTATTATATTATGTTGATTTTATTTTTTAGTTATTTTTTAAAATATAATTCCTATATCTTGCATAAAATCTCACAAACTAAAACACCTATATTATTTTTTACAAAAAAAATTGATTTTTCCAAATGTATGTTGATTAATGAAAACTTAATACAGTAGATGTAAGACACTATTAGCGTTACATATTAATATATAGCACATATTTATGTATTTATTTCTTTGTCTACTTCTTTAACTAGGTTTGTCTTAATTTTTTAATAAAAATTGCATTTTTAATCTGTTTCAAAAGTTTTTAGTACAAATCATGAAAGTCCAAAAAACATAAATCTCAACAAGATTGGATATTGTTTAAAAAAATATATAATAGTTGTTATGTTGCAATCACTTCTAAATTATTGAATTTCTTGGAGAACAACTCCTATAATAGTTATGAGTATTCAAACCACTATATTCTATACATTTCTTGTAAAGCATTAATACCCACTTTGTGAATTGGTACAATGTTATCATATTTACAATAGAGTTCATTTCCATAAGTAGTATACAATTATGTGATATATTCACTACTAACCTGAAGTTGAATTGGGAAGATTGAATGGATTTTGCTAACTTATTGCATTTAATGAGAAAATAAAAAATGAAGAAAGATTTTCAAAACAGTAAAATTAGGGAATCTTAAAAATTAACTTCTAAATTGGATGATGAAAGTATTTTGTGGGTGGAAGAGACTCCTGCTTTTGATTTGAAGCATAACATTGGTTGTCAAGTCATTGATAAATGGTGACAGCCATTTCCACTCTCTGCCACCCACCCACCCAACCTTGTCCTGCTTTGTGATCATGTGCTAAATTTGCTTCTAGTAATTATATCAACCAAAAAGGTATATTTGAGTTGTGTGTTTGTATTGGTTTTTTAATTTTAATTTTTAATTTTTCTCATATACTGTTCAGAGAATTGAATAACGACTTCTAGAGTTGGACGGTTTTTGCAGAGATTTGTAATTATCACTTATCAAGTCGCATCTAATACAATTGGAACTATTGCTTAACCTTTACCGGGCTATGTAGATGCTTTTAAAAACACAATAATTTTGGTGGTAATGAGATCAGATAAAAAATCACCATGCAAAAATACAACCAGGAGAGTAAAGGCACAAGCACATACCACCAGTCGATCCAGTAGCCTTACCAGGGAAAGAACTAGTGGATCATGCGTCGTGGAACTCATTTCGAAAAACATGCCACTTGGCGGTTCAACCAATGTTACAAATTTCAAGTTAAAGATGAATGTTTTGGCACTTCAAAATTTTCTGCGTATCTATCATTTAAATTTACTTCAAAACAACGATTCCATACAATTCGTAAAAATGCTAATGCACTATTTTCCTTTACGCAGCATGCAAGTCGAGCCCATCACCTTCGATGGCAAGCTGCACTTCGCTAGGAAAACTGCACATGTTTCCTTTCTCATGATAGTCGTCAAGCAGACGCAATTTGCTCCAAAATATTGACCTCGTCATGTGCTCCTACTGGCTCCGTCGTGCCCAACAGTCTTCCATTTGATCTAGGCCCTCGCGGTTTTAATCCCGCATTTTGTCGCCGTTGTACTTCTAGGTGAATAAGTAAGGCCGTAATGTCGGCTGGATTGACTCCCCCTATCCTCGACGCTTGCCCTATATTTTGAGGTCGTATCTGCACGCTCATGAATACAAACATATCAAAGGTGGTCCTTTCATCCGCACATGAACAAATGAAGAATTTTAGCAAGAATAATGTGAACATTATTTTCAGGCAGCGAACACCTGTTTAGAAAGTTTCTGTACAATTGGATTTCTTAAGGGTACATGCATCCTACATTTTCGCGAACTGCTTGACAAAAGCCAACGCCAGACAACTAAGAACAAGTATTCTCACCTTTGTTAGCTTTTCCCGAGCCTCCATTGATATTGTGCTGATGGAATTATAATCTAAATCATCTGGAATAGCCTTATGCTGCTTGTGTACCATCTGCTCACACAAGTTCGTAATAAATATCAGATCCAAGCTGCGATGAGAAATCAACTCAAAAATTAAGACTGTTCCGTGGCAACGAACCCAGAATCTAATTGACTATCCAGTTCATACAACATGGTAAGCACAAATACCTGTTCAAGCTGGCCTTGCTGACGCATAATAAAGCCAGCATATTTGATGTCTATCTCAACACATTCTTTCTCCATGCTAGTAAGTTCAGAGTTTCCATACCCATGATTCTCTAGAACTGAATAGTGAACGTGAGGCCGCTTCAAGATCGTTGCTAGCGCCACAGTTTCTTTAATCCCCTGCCCTGAAACCTGAGCTACTTCTTCTGCAATTTTCTCATTAGCTGCCAAAAAAAAAAATGCAAGGTCAATTAAGTGAATAAGTAAATAAACGTCAAGTAAGTAAATAAACGTCAGGCTGACACTTATTTACTTACGAGTTACTTTTGTTGTCTGCAGTCGGTTTTTTTCTGAAGCAATGCGTATTTGTTTGTCTTGAAATAGATTCCACATCCGGTCATCAACAAGACCCAAGTCCCGGCCTAATGGAGTTAATCGGCTATCCGCATTATCAGCTCTTAACAGAAGACGATGCTCGGATCGGCTGCAAACAGAACCACCCACCTCATCAAATAGTGTCTGGCTGTATACGTCAAACAGTCGTAGACAAGGAAAAGCATTCACTACTTGAAATTGTCGAAAAGACAGTATACACAACCTACTAAAATCTCTCGTCATTAAGGATGAACATCCAGAAATTATGTTCACCAACTCTGAGCACCAACAACACTAGCGCTTGGTTAACACCTGTGTCATCAATAAATACTAACCTTGTGAGCATGCGGTAAGGCTCGCGCAGATCTTTGGTGACAAGATCATCGATCAAAGTTCCTATGAAGCTGCTCTCACGCTCTAACACCAATAGCGACTTGCCATCCGCGCGAAGCGCAGCATTTACACCTGCTACAAGCCCCTATTCACAATTCACTCCCACAAAGCCAGTCAAACTATGATGATTCTAAATCACGCCCTCCCTCAAAATTAAAACTAATCTGGTGCAATATACCAATTGTACAAAGAGTAAAAGCTGTTAGCATGGTGACTGCGTCGGACCGACCTGCGCAGCAGCTTCTTCATAACCTGTGGTGCCATTAATTTGGCCACTAAAAAACAATCCCTCCAGTTTCTTGGTCATCAAGCTTCGGTGGCACTGATGCGCTGGGAGATAATCGTACTCCACAGCATATGCTGGTCTAAGCATCGTGCATTTTTCAAGTCCAGGAAGTGTTCTTAAAAGAGCTAGTTGTAATCTTTCAGGTAATCCCGTTGAAAACCCCTGTATGACACCGATAACAGATTTAAAGAGTGGTCCCGTCCACTCGCGTCAGGAATCTAAACTCAAATATGGTGAGTGAAGTACTCTGAATCTTCCTTGAAATTCACTACAAGACCAATCTAGTCTAATAGCACCAGGGCGACCATTTTCTCCGATATGCAAAGCAAAAGAAAACAAAGTGGACCTTAAATATACGATAGGAGAACATCATTCTTGCCATACGTTCAGAAAAGCACTCTTCATGTTCAAAATGGAAATACACCGCAGATAACCAGACCGGACTAGTGAGAACTGGCACCTCACGTGTTCACGGGACAAAATGATGATTACGATAGAGTACGCTTACACAACGGGCACCTCACTTATCATTTGGTAAATATAAACTGACCTGCACATATAACTCTGGTACATCACGACCTTCAGGTTCCAGAAATATTTGATGAGTTTCTTTGTCCTTGAACCTGACTATCTGAAACATGAGATGATCGCATTAGTCCGCGTAAGAGTAACTTTCGTTTTCCTCATGATAAACGAGAAAAAGATGAGGCAACCCAAGGCAGTTGTAAGCACCTTGTCTTCAATGGAAGGGCAATATCGAGGTCCTTTAGCTTCTACCCAACCACCATAGGTAGGAGTCTCATGCAAGTTGTCATTAATCATTTTATGTGTAGCAGGTGTAGTACGAGTTAGATAACAACTCATTTGCTCTCTCTCGATGTGAACCAATGGATCGTTACTGAACCACCGCACCTGCACCACAAGTTGAACCATAAGTAGTCACTCTTCATCCCTAGTTGATAAGTAGTCAATACTACTGTTCCCAGCCTCCAGAGAGGTACGAGAAATCTAGAAGAAGCCCCATCACAAGTACGAAGAGCCCTTACTAAAACCAGGTAACCATAAAGCCTCAACCAGTTCACAACATAGTAATTGCACAATTAATTGTTGTCTAAAAAAGTCAACCTGTGACACAAACCGATACACCAGTACAAAAGAATTCAAAAGTAACGAGGTTCAAAGTCAAAGACTTTATCCAACTTACATCCTCGTCACCTGGTTGTGCTTCCATAACAGAAAAATCAACAGAACGAACGTCAACTCTTGCCGGAGTTCCCGTCTTTAATCGATCAGTTTCAAAACCAAAATTTTGCAGATTTTCTGTAAGCCCTTCTGATGCCGATTCCCCTGCCCTTCCAGCCGACATGGAGGAGCGGCCAACCCATATTTTTCCGTTCATGAAAGTGCCCGTGGTTAGCACCACAGAAGGAGCAATGAAATCGACTCCAAAAAATGTGCGAACTCCAGTTACATCATCATTGTTGCCCACGAGTATTTCTGTCACCATAGCCTCCCGAATTTGTAAATTTTTTGTGCTGATCACAACAACCACGCACATGATTTAGCTTCTATGGAACTGAGCACATGTCGGAGAAAAAAGCTGCAAACAAGAAAGTATTAGATACAAGAGAAAAATCTCAACCTCAGAGACACCTGGGACACACATTTATCTTCCGTATTAATTCGGTTACAAGCATCCCAATTCTCTCTGTAAGCATTGCGCTAATAGTAAGAGCTATACGAAACAACGACAGTTTAGAATCACAAATACGATCTTAACCCTACCGACCCAAAGGACCATGATGCAAAAAGCAACACAGATGAAACAGAGGTTGATAATTGGCATTATAGATGCATACTTCTCAATAATCTTCTTCATCTCCAAGGCATATTCTCTCTTGTCTGTCTGGGCTCGAAGTGCCCATACAGCTGGACCTTTTGAACGATTCAATACCCTCTTTTGCAAATAGCATCTACATAAAAAATCACTATTGTTAGGTACAGATTTATAATTTTTCAATACCAGAACGAGGGTCCATCTACAAACCACAGTTCCTGGATAACCGTGGGCTTAGAAAAATCCCAGAACAATACATGTCAAAAACCTACACACGTCTTCGCAATAAGCCACAAACATGACATCCATAAGGAGAGACACATCCACTAATGCGAGTCTAAAATTCAAGCAAAAAAGCCTCTACTATTTTACAGGGTGAAAGGGGAACCAAGAAGAGAACCACAAACCTATCGGCCATCCTCCCTATTTCGCCACCAAGAGCATCCACTTCATGAACCAATTGAGATTTCGCAGGGCCACCTACTGCTGGATTACACGGCTACTCAACCAGAACAACCCCCAAAGTCCCAAGAATTAAGGGTATGCAAAATTTTACAACAGAAGCAAGAAAGAAACTTAATTTCAAAGTCAACATTTGATCTGAAAATCTCGTGGTATATAGCACTGCAAAAAAAATGAAACAGAAAGCCACCTGCCAGGCGATGCGATCCAAGTTTAGCGTCAACAAAAGCGTTTGGGCACCCATTCGTGCCGCTGCAAGTGCAGCTTCACAGCCAGCATGCCCACCCCCAACCACTATTACATCGAACCTCTCGTCATTCACGCTGCCGTCTAGAACAAGTGCCAGGAGCAATGACTCAATACATGTAGCACACAACTTCATACAAACTTCTACATAAACTGATAGCTGAATCAGGAACAAGGTCTACACAATGTTACATAATTATTCATTGAAAAACTCTCTAAACGACAAGTTAGCTGGTTTACGACTTTTGATCCATCTCAGATGGATAATAATCAGATAAATTAAAAGGAGAAAAAGCTCATGTTCCCGATCAAAAACTTGAACCACACATAATTCATGGAGCATTTATTCCAGCATATGATGAGGAACAATTAAGGAGCATACCTCCATTCGACGAAGAAATTGATGAGAACGACGAAGCTCTGATATATGGCAATCTCACGCTTGCACGCCCGACGTCCCTTGAATTGAAGGACAAGGAATTGTGACTCCTGAGACCTGGAGCACTTGCCTTAGACATCCTTTTTCCGCAAAAATTATTCAAACTCGCAACCTTGAATGGCATGAGCCGAACCTGGGAATTCTCCAAAACCTCCATACTTCGCGAGGAGGATTGAGAAGGTAGTTTGTGAACGAAGGGGGCGGCATGAGAGGTTGAGTAATTCGGCAAAGTTTGAAATCTTTTATTAATGCTGCAATATTCGGAAGGTGCTGGGCGCGGGCACCATGCTGGGAGAGGTGACCTCAGAGATGATATTGTGAACCGTGCCATTCTAAATTTACCAAATTGGCACCCAGTCTTACACACAATTTCCCATCCTTTGCACCTTGCAGCTCCTTCACCCTAAATTCAAAGAACTACAGTAAATGCACCTGTCAGAAAATGCACACACCTCAAGTCCCTGACGAATTTATCTCACAACATAAAATTCCATAATCCTAACTCTAACTCAAATACCGTCTCAGTGCACGAACCTACAAAATTAGAGCTGAAGAATTGAATCTCCCACTCTTGCCTAGACGTGCTTGGAGGCTCCCAACCCTACATTGACAAAATCCTATTAAACTGATACCTTGTGCGCTGCCAATTCTGAGCCAAATTGCTCTGGAATTTGTGCGTCTTAGTAAGATTTACCGAGAGCCACTAAAACAATTGTTACCAAGATACAACAACAATCGTGATAGAGTCGAAGATTTTGTGACAAAATCCGAACGTGATCCGGGGACGCTGAGTCTCCTGAAAGCTGTGGAATAGGAGAGAGGGAGGAGATAAACCCCGCGACCTTGACACCGCCCCCTCTGGGAACTTTCTGATAACGTGTTCGCGGCGTTCCCATTGCATCCTTCTGAGTTCTAAAACTCCACGTCGGATAATCCATTTGTCACTTCCTTTTCCTTTAATTCAGTTGTGTTCACACCTGTCTTGCATGTCTTTCCATCATAGTGGCAGTAACCAGCAGTGAAATTTTTTGGGTTCAGTCGTGCAGGCGATGAAATAATTCTTGCATCTCAAGGCAAAGACCATACTATAGGTAGGGCTACAATTAGAAGAAAAAGCTCACTGAGCTCATCAACATCCATTGAGATATGACATCCTTTTGGTGACGAAGTTAATCCTTGAATTGTTATGCAAGTCTACATGACAAATAGCACACACATCCACTAACCACTAAGTAGTGCATATTGTTTGAGTTGGAGGTGGCAAATTCAAGGCATTCAAGTGAAAAAAATTAATACTTCAAATGACAAAAACAATTTCATGCATTTATTATACCAATTAATCAATAATAATTTTGTCAAGAAGAAAATTGTACAAATTATTATTAAAGTGTGTGAAAGTATAGGAAGCAATAAAATAACTAATTGTGAGGAAGCATGATTTGATCTGATTTTGATATGTTTGTATCTTTTTGCTAATATATTTGTGTTATTAGAAGATCAAATTTTAAGGTAATATTTCTACCAATTTTTTTTTAAAAAAAAGATAAGATGAAAGACTTTAAATTGGATATTTCAAAACCAAGAAATTTAAAAACCAAGAAATTTAAAAACCAAGAAATTTAAAAACCAAGTAGAAATACATTATAAAGTGAAAAAAAATTATAATATTGATTTAAATACAAATAAATTAGATATTTCAAAAGTAAGACTCAAATATAAGAAACTCTTTGAGAAAAATCAAAATGACTTAAAACTTACTTTTGTTTAGACTAACTTGAAGAAATATTTTACAAAGCCGTTTTAAAGAATACAAGGTTTATAGGCCAAGTCTCTAAATTTTAAAAGTATATATGTACATTAGTTTCTTTATAAAATCTTTTTTTATCATAATTTTTTTATAACTGTATGAAGCACTTATAGATTTAATTTGCATTTTAATATCTTTGTTGATGTTATTTTATTAAAAATATATAAAAAAAAGATCCATCTAATATATATATATATATATATATATATATATGTACTTCTATTCATTCTATTTATTTAAGTAATATAAGAATTTATGATATTATTTGTCTTCTAATTAGAAAAGGCTTTTATCAAAATAAATTGATATTTAATTTATTTTAATTGATAAAATCTAGGATTTTTCTAATAATATTTTCTAAGAAATATAATTAATAGATAGTACAAAAGAGATTAATAAGTCCTTCAAGCCATCAATCATATTTTATATCAAGTAAAAAAGATCATTTAATTATTTAATTTTTAAAAATACTTCAATTATTAATTTAAAAAATATATTTAGAATTTTATTCGATACAATATCTATTTCAAGTATTTATGCTTATATCTAAAGTATTAGAATTTATGTTTTTATAATATATAATTATTATTATATTTTATAAAAAAAACTTTAAAATCTTATTTTTTATTTTGATATTGTGAAGATTATAATATCCTACTTAGATCATTTGTATATGAACATATATATTTACTTCAATAATTTCTCAAATAATATAAATACATGGAAATAGGTAAAAATAGATAAAATTGATATTATTTTATAAAAAAGCTTTTTAAAAGTTTTATAGACATAGTTTTGCTTTTATACATGTTTATAGGTGATTGATAGGTTGAAAACTTTGCCAAAAAAATTGGTGATGTGTTATATATGTTGATGACTTGTTGTACAAGTTGGACATATGGTGCATATATAAGAAGCTTGTCTTGTAAGTTAAACATATGTCTTACAAATTAGACACATATTGGAGATCATATAGAATGTCGCGACATGGTTCCAAATTATACAATATACATGGAAGCAAAAATGATGCCTTTTTGTTACAATGTTGCATTGTGGTTAGACTACCATGTAAAAATAATACACATATATATTTAATGTATAATTTACTATATAATATATTGAAAGCTATATTATTAGATTTTAATTGGTTACAAAATGTGTTAAGATTACTTCTTTGAAGTGCTTAGTCTAAAAGGGCTACTATTGAAATTGATTTTTATGTTAATAATAGTTTTTATATATTTAAAGCCACCTTTATTAGATATTGGCAACTCTTGAAATCTTATTTTATTTCTTTTATTTTAATTTAGGGCACATATTATATAAAATTTATTAGAAAAAAGATTAAAGAAGGATTTTGGTATAGAAAATAATATATAGGCCAACCATGTGGATGAATGGAGATAGATGATAAAAATCTTTATTCCTATTGGCCAAAAGTCATACCTAATGGACTTTGTAGAATAAGTAGTTATTTTTAGAATATAGATACCTAGTGTATAGTGTAAAAAGGGATAGATAACTGCTGAAAAGGTGGTTCACCAGGTAGAATGGATGAATAGTCAAGAAAAGTAGTTATCATCTGTAGTATAGGAGTTGGTATCTCGGGGTAGTATAAGGAAGATGGGAGAGGGGAAGAAAATACCAAACTGTAAGAGTTGTAAGCCGAGGACCAGACTGCAATAGTACTGAGCCGGGGATAAGCTTGGTGCTATCTCTTCTTCTTAGTTTTCTTGTTTCTTTTGTGTTAGTATTGATTCTAGTGAAGAGAATCAATTTAATGAATTAATGTTTGATTTATGAAGTTGTTTATGGATCACTATTTATCAATTGTTGTGAAAGATTGAGGATGTATGGAAGTTTCCAGTCACTGTTTATCGCAAGGTTGTAAGTTTAGTAGAGAGGAATTGTAATCGAAGGAATTGTCTTGATTAGATTTTGTGGATTGAAAGTTGTTCATTCTAGGGTTTGAGATATGCTTGTGAGTTTGTGAATTACACATGGTATTGAAATCGTTGTCGTGGATGTTATTGTATTGATATGACAGAGTGGACAGTAGGAGGAAAAGTTAAATGTTCTTCGGTATTGTAAGCATTCAGCAGTAGCGGTTAATTGCGTGACCCTAACAATTGGAGCTCATATACATGGTCATTCCCCTTGTTCGAATCTCCCTATATGGATTTATTCTGGGAGGTTTCTTCCAAAATAAGTAAAACGAGCAATCACATTTTGGCGTCGCTGCCGGGGATTGACAACATTATTGAGTGTTAGGAATTAATTGTCGAAGCAGTAAAGGAGATTAGGAAGCAAACTCAGTAGAAATAATGAAAGAGTATGGTTATTAAAAATAAGAATTTAACAGCAAAGAGAATAAAGCAATCAAAGGAAAGAACAAAGCAATCGCAAGCAAGAAATTTGTTGCGTAATGAGCGAGATCACAAATTAAAAAAGAAGCATCGACAAAGTTGGATTAAGCTGTGGTTGCATGCCTGTTGGCATATTTGATCGTACCCAGAAGACGATCGATCTCTAATATTTCAGAAGTACATACTGTTAAAGAAATTGCCAAGAGTACTCGCAGGGAGTGCTGCTAATAGTCCAACAAACCTCTCGAAGCCGTTAATGGAAAACGAGGAAGGCACAGAGGAATTAGGTACTCCAGTGGGTATCTTCTCAATTCGAAATACGTCCGATCCTAATAAGACTGCTTTTTAAGATCAGCATAAATCACTTGCCAATAAAGACCAATTCATAGTATATCAAAACCTGTCATTTTCACCTCATATTCAACCAGTAAAATTATTTGGAGATAATAATAGTCAATTGGGAAGGCCCGGAAGTCCGAAAAAGACTTTTGTGAGAGACAATTTTTATTTTAATAAGAAATTGAATAGAACATTGGCATCTTTAATGATGTTCGGAGGACCAGCAGTTCCAATTGCAGTTCAAATGGGTGTAGTGGGTGATCGAATGACTAGCGTCATGCCATTACCTACTTTTCGGGGTTTGCCAGAAGCGGATCCAGATCAACATTTGTCTCAATTCTTGACAGCGTGTGTAGCCAATAATAGAAGAATAGAAGACATTTGGCTGAGATGGCTGCCAGTGACATTGAAAGACACAGCATTTGAGTGGTATAATCGCCAACCTATGGAACAATTTATCAATTGGGAGGCATTGAAAAATATATTTTTAGCCCATTTTCGACCCATTGGTTTTGAAGAACGTCTTAGAGAAAAATTAATGAATAGCAAAATAGTACTAGGGGAAGCGGTACAGTCATATTATGATTGTGTAGCGGATATACTTCAAAAATGGCCAAATAACCAAATGCCGAAATCATTTGTGTTGTCCATATTAGTTAATGGACTACACCCACCAGAATTGAAAATGTTTGTAAAAGAGGCCCAATCAGCCATCATTGCATCATCTCTTGAGCGAGCAAAAGTATGGGAGGAATGTCACTATGACCAGAACTTAACAGTTCGAGCCACGATGATTCCATCTCAAGGAGGTTATCAAATGACAAATTGGAATAACGCATCGGGAAGTTATCTGGGAAGGAATGATTATAGTACAATTCCACAGGGAATAGTGGATGCCGTTCCATTGCAAGCTATACCACCACCATCATCACACTCATATGCACCTTATTCCGCATATCAAAAATCAATACCTACAAAGAAATTGCCAAATGTATTGATATCAAGGGATTCCAATGAGTCATTGCTGTTAACATTGACGAAAAAAATGGATGAATTGGCTGTGAATCTGGCCAAGGATAAAGAAAAAAGGCATAAACCAACCAATATGCGTCCCAATGTCTGGTGCAGCAATTGTAAGGGACAAGGTCATTTAGTAACAGAATGTCCTTCACCACCCCAAATGACTATACAATGTACCTTTTGCGGGGGCAAGTATATTATCACCAACTGTTGGAATTTATGGAAGCAACAACAACTCAGTAACCAGATAATGACTCAACCAACTTTGTGGGATGTCAATCAAGTACA